CCGGGCCCCACCGATCCAGGGTTGGGGGGGAGCTCCAGGAGTACCGGTCCAGCAGAAAAACAAGTGTAAATAGACCATTCCCTTCCAGCGTGCCCTCTCTCTAGGATGGTCCCATTCGCTCCCTTGTTGCTCTAGCATTAAGTTTACCTAATTTATTGGATGGGTGCTATCTCGTTGACTCACACCGAGGAGTTTCTCTCAGCTGCAGGAGAGCCGTGTTGCGGGACAACGCCGAGCAACTCTTTGGTGAATTCCTGACGAGCCCCCGTGGCCGGCTCACCCGGGGCTCCTCTCTCAGCCGTTATCCCCGGGTCTATAGGATGTTCATGGTGCTTATTAGACTCCCAGTGATTGTAAGACGTCGTCCCCCTGTGCCGCGATGATAGCTGCATCCAGCCGCTGTACCGACGAGAAGTGTCATGTTTGCTGTTCTAATAAAGGACTTTTATGAGAGAAGGGCAGAGCTTCCCTGAGCATCTCTGCGCCGCCGCCGCAGCCCCTGGCTTCAGTTCCCATCTCGTCCCCTCGCCCCGGTGCGGGTCAGCACAACGCACCGCGCGGCCCTGCGTGGTGAGCGTTGGGAGACAGCAGCAGAGAACAGACAGAACTCAGTTCATGGGAGGGAGGGGAACACAGAAGCCAGCTGAAACCCAGCGCTGTGGCAGTGCCATGAGATGACCGAGGGGAGCTTGTGCCACCATGTCCCCCCTCCCAGCACGGCAGCACCCTCTCCCCCCGAGGGTGCCACAGCCAGCGAGGCAGCAGCACCCGTGGGGCAGCGGGGACGGGCGCTTTTCCACCCAGGAGGAAGAGGGCTTTTTGCAACCCCTGTGTTACGCCTGCGGGGTTCCTGGGGAGATAACCCAGGCACAGCCGTGAACCCCAAACCCAGCAGCCCCACATCCCACCCAGCCTTTTCCCGACGCTTTCCTCCCCCAGCAGGCTCCCACCTCCCTCCCTCCTGCGCGCCCAAGGAGCGGTGACCATTCCCCGTTCCCAATGTGGGCACGGAGCTGGGGCAGCAGGAGAGGGGAGAGGGCAGCTCCCACTGCCCCACAGCGAGCCAGGGCCCACCCAGGGGCTCCCCACTCCTGCAGGGGAGTTTGGGGTTGGGGGGGTGAGGGATGGTCCTGGGTGCCCAAGGAGCTGGGATGGAGGGGACGGAGGGGTGGCATCCAGTGAGAGGGAGGAATTACTGAGGCTGGATACAGAGCAGCATCTCCCAGGGGGGACAAGCCCAGAGCTGTCACCCCTACGGCAGCCCCTGCCTGGAGACCCGTCCAGGATGGGAGATGGTGGTGAGGGCCAGGCAGGGAAGAGAGAGAAAACGATAGAAATCACAAGATGTCATAGAATCACAGAAGTGTTTAGGTTGGAAAAGCCCTTTAAGATCATCAAGCCCAACCGTTCCCCTACCCCTGCCATCCCTCCCCCAAACCCTGGCCCTAGGCACCTCGGCTGCCCGGCTTTTAAATCCCGCCATGGATGGGGACTCGACCCCTTCCCTGGGCAGCCCCTTCCAGCCCCTGACAGCCCCAAGGGGAAGGAATTGTTCCCCATGGCCAACCTCACCCTGCCCTGGCACAACTTGAGGCCGTTTCCCCTCATCCCATCACCCCTTCCCTGGGAGCAGAGCCCGACCCCCCCGGCTCCCCCCTCCTCTCAGGCAGTTGTAGGGAGCGATGAGGGCTCCCCTCAGCCTCCTCTGCTCCACGCTGAACAAGCAGTGAAGGAGCCCAGCATCGTGACGCAGCGCTGGCAACATT